AAAGCTTTATTTATGCGAGTATTATTTATTGTTGGCAAGACAAAATTTGGTGGCTCTTGAAATACTTGAAAATTTAGTAAATTGTAATTTGTGACTCTTCCAATTCAAAAAGGTTGCCGACCCCCTGATAATTGATTAGAAATTAATTTATAGTCAATTTTTAATCATATTGTTTAAATATTTGAAAGAAACAAAACCACTATAAATATCTAACATCAATTTCAACTAATTTTTCTTTAGTTGGTATGAGAAATGAAAGACATCAAAATAGAAATTACCGTCCTTATATCCAACAGTTTATCGACTCATACATAATGCAATGACCTCGACGACACTAAACTTCCAGTAATGACTTTTTAACCATGAAAGTATGCATCCATCTACGAGTAAACACGAAGAAAGAGAGACAGAGAAAAAAAATAAAGAAAGAGAGAGAGAGAGAAAGAGAAAAAGATAGAAGAAAAATAAGTTAGAAACGTCATCGTGCAAGTCTACTTGTCAATGACGTTGAAGCTTCTAACCCGTGAAACCGGCGCAGAAGATGCGCCCAGAATGTTGGCGACGTTAACGGAAGAAGGTGTCGTTGGTGATGGTGATGGTAGCGTGAGATGATCAGTGCTGGAAATAGAAGTAGTAGTAGTAGTAGTAGTAGTAGTAGCAGTAGCAGTGGCAGTAGAAGTAGAAGAAGTAGTAGTAGTAATAGTAGTAGTAACAACTGCAGTGGTATTGGTAGTGGTAGTAGCAGTGCTTGCAGTAGTAGTAGTAGTAGTAGTAGTAGTAGCAATAGCAGTAGTAGTAGAAGATGATGAAGAAGAAGGCGGTGGTACGCGTTGGTGATAATGATGATGGTGGAGATGATGGTTGTGATAACGGTGATGACGTTCATCGTTGTTGTCATCGTTTTCGTCTACCTCTCGATCACTGTTATGGATGATGTTATTGTTGTTATTGTTATTATTATTATTCAATAGTTGATGATGCTGGTGATGATGATGATGATGATGATAATAGTGTTGCTGTTGCTGTTGCTGGTTGTAGTGCTGTTGTTGCTGCTGCTGCTGTTGCTGCTGTTGATGATGATGAAGATGATGATGATGATGATGATGATTATTAGTGCGAGTGCCAATAGGAACGATCGTTCGAAGTAAGCTGGAACGATCGACGTTTTGAGGTGAAGAAGAACGCCGAGAACAACGATCCGGTAATACGAAGCTCTTCGATCTTCCATCCAACATGCTGCCAGTAGCTGCATGCCAACAACAATCGTTGCTTCTTTCCAATGGTCGGATAATACGATCCTCGATTGGCCTAGCATTGATCGTTGCTGTAGTATCCTCATCCTCGAATTGTTTCATCGATTTGCCGATACGATCAAGAACAATCTTCGAACGATGTTGCTGCTGCTGCTGCTGCTGATGCTGTTGCTGTTGCTGTTGTTGCTGACGCAGAAGTACATGCTGACGAGTAGATTCAGACTCTCCATGCTTGATCGGCCTTGAGGAAAGGATCCTCGGGCCGATCTCGAGCTGACTTTTCGAGCCACATAGCCAAGGTTCTCTTACGTTCTGACTAGGTTCCGGTCTGTAGGAAAGGCTCAACACACGTTGTTGACTTGGACGTCCACAAGCACCAACGACGTGACCCTTTGGATAATTCTCCTGAAGACATCCGTTTTCGTCCAGCCACTGTCCGATCGTCGCGATTAACGGTTATGGTAGTGGTTGTGGTTGTGGTTGTGGTGGTTTTGGTAATAATGGTAATGGTGGTAAATAGAATGGTATTTATCATAAGGATTAGGAAAAAGCGATCCGAAAGCGAAATGTGGTTACTTTACGAGCGGACATAACACCAAATTAATTTACACGCATGTCAACATTACAATCGTGATATATATATATATATATGCATAGATAGTGAACTATATACACATATATAGAAATATCCGAGATAATTAATATCCTAAATTCAAAATGGGGTGGATTAGGAATCAATTGATTTCCATGAGAAGATCCATAATCGAATGAGATTAATTTTTGGTTTTGTTTGTTTGTTTGTTTGTTTGTTTCCTAACAGATGATAAGAGATGGAATAATCGTGCACAATGAAATCAGGTGCATAGTTGATATCAAAGATGAAAAGATTAATCGTAAAATATACTTCAAATCGAATCTACCAAAAATATGCATTTTTTATTCTTATTAAACACTTTGAATTAATAATTCTTTTTATTTTTTTTTGCAGTTAGTAAATAAAAAGCTAGTAAAAAATAAATATACTACTTTAATATCTTGAATTCAAAGATTGTTGTTCGATCGTTAAAGCAAGCAGAGCGCTTTTGCTTTCAAGTTAGATAACACAGACGAGATAATGGAATAACTTGAACTCCAATAAAAGGTTGAAATCTCTTTTATATGAGATTTCCTTTTATTCAACAAGAACACTCAGTTCTTAAGGGTATTATCACTCTCGTTATGTATTCAATATACAAAAAGTAATGTGAATAGAAAGAGAGAGAAAGAGAGAGAGAGAGAGAGAGAGAGAGAAAGAAAGATAGGAAAAATAATAGCAAGAATAAAAACCCCATAAGGAAAATAGATAGGAGTGTTATAAAGTGAATAGGCCTTACATAATTTGTCTTAAGTATAAAAATGGCGTACCCCGTCAAATATGTCCATGACCTCGTCCCACCACTAGAAACATAGAATTAATTACAGCATTAAACTATGCGTTAATGTCTATTGAGAGTTATGTATACATTTAGAGAAATCAAAAGTTATAATAATAATAATAATAATAATAATAATAATATGTTATATGTGTGTATCTGTGTGTGTGTATAAAGTTTCTCAGTCTAGTTTTCATCTAATTATCAAATCCAAATTGAGAATAATTTAGAAACTTCAAGTATAACATACACCACGTATTTCTAGTAAGATAAACTTGGTCATTTTGAAATAGCATAAGGCAGGGGTCGGCAACCTGCGGCTCGCGAGCCAAATGCGGCTCTTTAGATGTGAAACTGCGGCTCTTTAGTTCCATACGCAAATATTATTTATTTTATCAAAAAAAAACAAAAACAAAAAACATTTAAAAATCTATTTTAATAGATAGAAAACTATTTATTGTTGGCAAGACAAAATTTGGTGACTCTTTAAAAACTTTGAAATTTATTAAATTGTAATTTTTGACTTTTCCGATTCAAAAAGGTTGCCGACCCTTGCCATAAGGTAAACGATATTGTACGTGTGGTATCCCACATATACGAAATTGCCTCAACCCCTTTTTTTTTTTAACATCATAGATGTAAACTAGACAAGAGTGTGTGTGTGTGTGGGTGTGTTTTGAACATAGGATTTACTACAAGCGACGCTACCAAAGCTAAACCAAACACAAGGTATAATATACGTAATAGAAAGTTTCCTTAAAGATTATGTGGAATGTTCTTTTGTGTACCTTATTTATTGTTTGTTTGTACCATATTAATTAAATAAACGCAATGTTTTTTGCCTTGACAAATAAACAAAAATAGTGAAAGAGATAGATAGATAGATAGAGAGATAGTGAGAGAGAGAGACAGAAAGACAAAATGAAAATCAAGTTCGCACAGTTAGACGAATTGAAATGCTAAATAAAATAAAAGCTCTCAATAATATTATTAAATGTTGTAAATTTATGAAATGAGCATATTTTGTATAGTTACTCGTTTCACATTTTTCAATCGTTACCTTCCTCGTAGTCCGCGTGACAGAAGTTGGCTAGAAGCAAAGCCATTTGAAACGATCATGTTCCAGCAATATCATTTTTCTATCGTGTGAATATTTTTTTTCATTCGATTTTTCCTAGTATTAGTAATAGTAGTAGTAGTAGTAGTAGTAGTTGTACGTACCATTTAAGATCGTAAGTTAAAAGGTGTAATATTTAACGAAATCAAACATTCGTGAGAATTATATTTGAAATGAAATATTATTTCAAATTATCCTAACAAGTAGTTGGATACCTCATTTAATTTGCAAAACGTAAAATTGATTTGGGTTTTTTTAATTATTCGTGCGCCATTAAACATTTTCCACACATTTGGAAAATTCGATGAATATTTAACGATCAAAAAAAAAAAATATGATGGTGGTTATTTTATTTTATTTTTTTTTTTTTACGTACTTCTTTTGCCTCCTTATCGGCGATAGATGATCGTCCTGGTTCGTAATCCTCGATTCGTCCTGGCTGATTTTTGTAAACGTCCGAAGAATATTTCAATGCTCCATTTCTATAAAAAAAAAAAAAGAAAAATGTGTGTTCGAGAGAATGAAATGAAGAATTAGGATAATTTATTATATAACATTATTAATGTTAAATAATTATAAAAATGTGCGCCTGTGTGTATGCAACCCTCCATACACAGTTTGAAAAATGTTGCTTGCAAGCGCCACCTGTTGGGACGGCATTATTTTTCACACCAAACTGTTCATACACGCGTGTATGACGGGTTGCCTATCTTTCGGGCAGTAAAAAAATTCCGTTCCAATAGATGTCGCTCGCAAGCAACATTTTCAAAGTTTGTGTCTGGAGGGTTGCATACCTACAGGCGCGCATTTTGATATAATTATTAAATATTAAATAAATAATTTCAAAAAAAAAAAAAGATACAAACGTGAACACAATGGATGACAATGACCATTAAAAAATAATCATTGAAATGATGCTTGTTCCGATGAAAGGAGATTTTGTTTCTGATGAAAGGAGTTTTGTTTGCAAAAAAAGAAAAAAAAAAAAAAGAAAAAGAAAAGAATGGAAAGACCACTCACTTTCTGGGCATAGTCGAGGTAGAAAAATCATTTTCTTTGCCTTTCAGCCGACGACGGCTATCAAAAGTAGCTGATCGATCTGTGTAACCACGTGGTTCGGGTTCGCTCAAATATCCCGAGCTGCTAATACCAGATCCATATCTTCCTCCTGGAAAAAAACAAAAATAAATTCTAATGTTAGAGAAAAATATTTGAAATTCATTTCCTCTTTTTTTTTTTTTTTTTACAACACTTTGAGTGCCAAATTTATTTTACCAGTTGCAGTTATGTTTAAAATTTGATTATTTTCAATACGAATTATTTTTTTCGAAAAAGAAAAAAAGAAAACACGGCACTCAAAGTGTTTTTAATAAAAAAACACTTTTATTATTTCCACTTCCATCACCATGAATTGTGAAGAACCATCTGTCTTGATTTGTCTTTGATAAATGAACGTCAATCCTTAACCATTGTATACGCTCAAATGAACGTTGTCGTTACTCTGTCGTGTAATTTAATCAAAAAATATATGTTTGTGTGTGAGTGTGCGTATGTATATAGATCATAGAGTTAGTAAAGCACCTGCAGGATACAATGCAAATGAAATAGGTATGTCATTATGGGCATCGTCTCGTTAAACTCACATCGGAAATAAAGGACAATTTATAAAAGCTTATTCGTCATTAACACTTGTTAGAACCAGGATGTTAGGTAAGATAGTAGTTCAATATAATATAGTAGCGAAACGCATTTAACATAAATTATTTATTGTTATTTTCACGCACGAGCGATTAGATTTGTTAAGACTATAATAACAATAATAATAATAATAATAACAATAATAAAAATAAAAATCATCATCATCATCATAATAATAATTATTGTCTTCTGTTACGCAATAATTCCATTCATCCAAACAAACGACGTAAATTACTTTCGTTCACGCAAAGTTTATTTACATCGAAGCAACGATGTTAATCAAAAGTTATTAATTATTCGTATTTGTTTTTTTTTTTTATTAAAATATGCTTTTCTGAGGAGGAAGATATTCACCTCTTCTGGATTTATAACGGATGGTAATGTAGTCGTCTGAAAATCAAAAGATGAAAACAAAAATGTGGTAATCTATTCAAAGATGATTTCATTAAATTTATAATTATTGACACAAACAATAATTCTTCTTAAATTGAATAATGTTTGAATTAAACAACGATACAACAATTGCCTACCGTCTTTTTCAGCACGATGAAGTGAATCGTACATTTTCTTATACCACTTGGTCTGATTGTTCTCCTTGACTTCCTAAAAAATCGATTTGATACTTCGTAATTTATAATATTACGTTAATTAGAAAACTTGTGTACAACGAGTGTCTCTATGTAATAAATAAAATTGAAGAAAATTGATCTATTTGACAACGTACCTGTATCAACATTTTATTTATTGATACTTAAACTATAGTGTTAAAAAGCATCCTATTATTATTACATTGATATCCATTTAATATTAATCACATTGATTTTGTAAATTGTGTCAAACTTACCGATCTTAGAACGAGAGGAATACCCTCTTTAGTAGTAGGCCCAATACCTTCGAACTTTCTCGGACCCAAATCGGCCATTTTTTTCGGTGGTTCGTTCTCTGATTCTGGCTCACTTTCGTATTCTTTCTTCACGGTGTAGACTAACGAAACATTTATTGATTTCACAAGCAATAAACGATCGTGAATTCGCGCGCGATTAGTTTAAAACAAAAACAAAAACAAAAAAACACGTGAAAAACTGACGAATGACGATGGACGATGTGAACGAGATGAACCTATTATCCTTTGTTGTTTAAATAAAATCGACTTCAAGTGGTCAAAGATGTAAAATGGTATTTAAATACAAACGATAGTGGGTGGGGGGGACAAATATTGGGAAATTGATGAAAAACTTCAAGGAGAAAAATAAATCATGCGAAAGTAACATGAACAAATGACATTGAATGAAATTATTATAAAAAAAATATATATATATATTGTTCATTAAATAAACTTACTTATTTCTCCTGGACTAATCAAAGGTTTCTTCTCATCGTTATGACCAGCCCTGGGTGGTTCACTTTCTTCGATATACGCTGCACCCTTTGGCAATTGTCCTTCTAAAGTTTCAAACAAAAACAACAACAAAAATCAATACTCAAATAATCGATATTTTAATGTTTTCATTGAAATAATATAAAGTAGATTAAAATATAATACGAATTTTAAAGATTGATATATTTATTTGAATAAAACGTAGGTATATATATATATATATATATCTGTTTTCAAACCTCGAGCTTTTTGCAGAAGCGTGATAGTTGGATTTTGTGCTCTTGGTAATCTTGGTGTAGAAGCTAGCGTGTTCAAGCCTTGAGATGGTGCAGAATGAGAGTTAACAATGCGAGACGTAGTTGATATGCTACTTTGTGAAAAGCTGCTCTCCGTGGTAATCTCTTTCTTTTCTTCCTCGTTTTTCCAAGGGGGAGAAGCTTCCTCCTCGGTCTGCAAACAAAAACGGAATATTGATTTAAAATAACTTAACTCTAACAATTTATTCAAATATTCTACATTGATTCTTTTTTTATTTTTCAATGTGAAAACTTCTTTAGAATGTTTCATCTGTAAGATTTAATCTACGAGAGAATGAAATAAAATATTTCTATTTTATATGTGTGTGTGTATGTTTGTGTGCTACGAAACGTATTAATTATTTAATAAATGAATTATTTATAAAAACATTACGCCTGTACGAATGCAACCCTCCGGACACACTTTGAAAATGTTGCTTTGCGAGTCACATTTGTTGGAATGGAATTTTTTTCTGCCCGAAAGATAGGCAACCCTTGATACATAGGTGTATGAACAGTTTGATCTGCAAAAAAATGCCATCCCAGCAGATGGCGCTCGCAAGCAACATTTTCAAAGTGTGTCTGAAGGGTTGCATAACTACAGGCGCACAATTTTTATAATTATTAAATAAATAATTAGAAAAAAAGAAGTAAAAATAATATAATAAATAATATTAAATAATGATTTGTCGTTTATTCAAATATAAATTTAAGAAACATACCTCTTCTGACTTTTTCTTTCTGCTTAAAATTGGACTTTCGAATTGTACAGGACGAAACTCTTTCCTCTCTGGCACAGGACTCGTTCCTGCGCTGGATGGGGTCCAGACTGGCGGTATTCCACCATCTTTTTGCGAATCCTTTGTACGATCTGGACTTGGTTCTTTTGGCGGTGCTGGTGGTTCACTTCCTGGCGACCAAATTCCTATCGACAAAGTCCAAATATTTTCTTCAACGTTTCTTCTTACATCCCTTTTCTTAAATTGTACTTCACACACACTTTGTATTTATTGTTAATTTAGTTTTCGTTTGAATGCATATATATATACATAAATTGTTAATATTATTATTGATGTAGGAAAAAATGTGAAATTAGTCAAATTAGTGTTGTGAGTCTAAAAAAAGAAAAATAAGATAAGCACAATGGAAGGAAGGTCCTTGCACCAAAGCGAATATTGCGAATATTAAATGTGCCAGAACATGTGGATTCTACATTTCAGTTTGTGCCAAAAGTAACGTATGTAATATATATATATATATATATGTATATTTAATATGTATGTACAAAAGAGTAGCACTAATCTTGGCTCGAGTAGCGTTATTATATAAAGGACCATTTCTTTCTTTTTTTATTTTTGTCTCCTCCTTTCTTTTTCCTTATTCGATTGCGTAAACTCGTATTACGAGGAAGAGGAACCCGGAAATGAACTATTCTGTTATTTTTTTTTTCATTTACTTTATAACCTCGTTACTTTTGGAATACAGGTCGCCTATACACGTTTCTAGTTGAATAGGGCAAAAGCATGAATGCATATATTTGTGTTGGTGTGTATGTGTGTTTGTATTTTTGTATGTAGACATGTGTGTATTTGAGAGAGAGAGAGAAAGATGTTATCGTCTTTGTAATAAAAAGTTTTCAATTCGTGTTATTAGTCATAACGGTGAACACGTGGTTCTTGCAACGACACAACAGGAAACGAATAAGAGTAGTGGTAAGAGTGTGTGTGGCTTAATGTAAGATGTAAAATTAGAAACGAGTAAGCACTGTTAATAATTATTATTATTATGACAGTTTTAAATAATGAATTTTGAGATGGTAGCATTTCTTTTTTATTTGTTTTTTTTTTTGAAAAGTAAACACAACCAGTTTGCAGTAGTAATATTCTACTTACCCCATCGATATTTAATCGATTTATCGTGTTATATATTATCAATTGACATACACAATCATTCACGAATCGTATGATAATTAGAATATTATTTCAAAAAACAAAAAAAAAAAAAAGATAAATAATATCATTTGAACAACAGATCGTGCAAATAACGCATTAATGAATCCCATTCATTTATCTTGATAATCGATATTGAATAATTTACGTTAGTATCGTACTATCAAATATTCTCATTAACACGTTCACGCCGGCGCGTACCACCGGTGGCCCGCACTAGACTGTCCCATCGGGCGGCGTGTATCACCAGTGGCTCGCGCTAAACTGTCCCATCAAGCGGCGCGTACCACCGGTGGTCCACCTTGGTCCAGGTTTGAACAAGCAAAAATCACGCGCCGCCAGATGAAACGCATCTTAGATTCGAGTGCCGCCCTACAGGACAGACACTGAAAATCGGCGCCGGCGTCAACGTATTAAATATCGGGGCCCCGTCTAATTGGACGTTTTTACGTGCTACGAATAAAAAAAAATTTAGAATGGAAAAGAAAAACATCATCATCGTCATTAATTTAGCCGTTCATTCGCACAAGTTTACCTGGTTTCGTTGGTAAAGTGGTGGCTTTAAACGTTGGGGCGAACATAACGTTCTCTGTAAAAGCAGCAAACAATTTTTTTTCTTTTTTTCGTTTCATATTAATTTTAATTGTATATATTTTTAGTTGATTAATATTCTCGCGAAATAAAGGATTTTTGATTTTTTTTTTCATTTTTTATTATAAAGTATAATAAATATCAAGTCGAGTGATAAATAACTGTCCGTTTTTAATGGCGTTTCTGCGACTGATAAGTGCAAGACACCTTTCATGGAGTTTATTTTTTTTTTTTTTTACACTCTTTGCAATAAGAGTGATAATTTAAGATAATTTAATAAAAATTGCAATAATTCAGCATGGAAAGAATATCTACTATATAATTGTGTAATTGTACTGTATAATTGTGTTGAAGAGAAGATTAATATATAAAAGATATATTATATATAAATTAATTATATTAACAAAAAATATATATATAAGATAAATTAATCTTGTAATATTACAAATATAATAAAAGATATTTAAATAGAAAGTAAACACATATTACGAGATGTAATACCTTAAAACAAGTAAAAATCAAAACCTTGAATTTGCAATCTCACCAATCTCACCAACTAACATTTTCAAGACGAGATCAATTGAATAAAATTTACAATATAATTCAACATGAAAAGTAGAATACTATATAATTGTAGATACTTATAAGATAAAAAAGAGAAAAATACGATACCAAAGATATTCATATCGGCAATTTGCTATCATTTTGTTTCCACGGTTAAGGTTACAAGAGTAGATAGGTAAAGAAAGAAAGAAAGAAAGAAAAGAAAAGAAAGAGAGAAGCCCACTCTCATAAAAAGAAATTTCTTCCTTTTTTCTATTTTTTTTAACTCAACTTTTCCATCGTCGTTGGAAATGTCTGAAAGGCTCCTTAAGTAGTTTCCTTGACGAAGCCAACGAGGTTCATTAATACAGAACCGTGCTTGCCGGGTTTGTGAAAGGTAGTAGAAGAAAGAAAAAACACGAATGAGTGGTGAAGAAAGAGAAAAGGGTGGATGAAAAGAGGTGGATGACTGAAAGAAAGTCAAAGAAAGAGAGAAAGAGAAAGTGTGAGAGATAAAGAGAATCAGAAAGAGAGAGAGAGAGAGACAAGAATAACAAGAAGACGAAATAAACAAAAAAAAAACAAACAGAAAACGAGACGTGAAACGTTTCTCTCTCTCTCTGTCTCTGTCTCTCTCTCTGTTTCTGTCTCTCTCTCTGTCTCTGTCTCTGTCTTTCTCTCTCATTTTTTTCAGAACTATCATCACCTAACAAGGTCGACATGTAACCACGGAAAATTTGGTAAGACCATTCACGCTTTTACAAACACATTCACACACACACACACACAGATCTACCAGGAAGAGAGATGTATACAAAGAAGGTACATACATACACGCACACATATACCAAATTGATGTTACGTTCTTTACAAACGATTCTCAGAATAGATTGGCTTGTCAAGCACGTTGCAGCAGCAGCAGCAGCACCACCACCAAACACGTTGGGGGTTTGCAACGTACACGTTCGTATACGTATGCACATATGTGCATATGTGCATATGCACATATGTGCATATACTGCTGACCGATCAACTCTTGATCGGTGATCGGAAACTCTCACTCTCTCGTCTCAGCATGATCGCCACTCCAGCATTTCGTGGCCTTCTCTGATCTAATTATAATTTACAACACGAGGAGGAGGAGAAACGAAAATTTATGTTCCCTACACGTACATTAATTGTGTGTGTGTGTGTGTAGTTGTGTAGGTTGTATATATATATATATATATGAATGATATATTAACATTGACTAATACTCGTTTATAAATACGTAATTTGATATAATTTTAATCTCGTTGATTTTATTATTATTATTATTATTATTATTATTATTATTATTGTTTATTCATTATAATATCACGATTAGATTATGCTTTTAATTTTCATTGAATATATTTGAAGTAAGATAGGAAAGATAATGGATAGACCGTGTAAGGATTATCGGAAAACTCATTTAACTCGATAATTAATATAAGAACGAAATGTGTGATAATAATTAAACTTGATAAACAAATAGAATATCAACCAAAGTAACTAGAAATAATTTACTTGTGTTCTTTAGATTATATTTCGTGCTCAACGAGCTTAAGGGCTCGTTTTCGTATAATCTTCGTTGACAACTTTTTAACGATTTTACGAAATTTCACTTTTAATAAAAGAAAAAAAAAATCATTATAATAAGCAGCATCGATTAAATAAAATAAAATGTCAATTGATTTGTCAGGGTGTATCCAATCGTTTGATTTTCTTTTTTTAATTTCGTTGCTGTTGTTGTTGTTTTTTTTTTTTTTTTAATTTAATTTAATTTAATGGATCACTCACTTTTTTCCAACATAATGAAGATCGTTTATCTTTTCTTCTTTTTTTTTTGTTTATTTATTTAATATTTATTACAAAAATGGGAAACGATCATGCACGAGCACGAACGCGGTTTAATCAAAGTTTCATAGCGTTTGAAAAAGACGCTAGGAAAGCACGAAAGATGATCGTAGACTAAACCTAGAACACCACCACCATCACCACCACCACCACCACCACCACGACTATGACGACGACACTTGGCAAAAACCTAAAACACTAGGCTCTAGTCGTTTTCCCTTTACCGACGTTTACTACGCCGACGTCGACGCCAAACCTTCGACGCCGGCGTCGATGATAGCCAGACTTTTCAAAACCCTACCTCCTACTCCCATCATTTCTATGATTTTGTATTGTTTTTGTCCTTTTTTTTTTTTGTATTAGTTCACTTTGTATCTCTGAGTCTATAAATCTTCACGTGTTTGATAAATAAATTGTTTATAATATTAATTTCAATGATAAATTATATTGTTGAGTTTCAATATAAAATTTGAAATCTATTGGTTTGTGTATTTTATTAAATTGTTTTTTCAATTATATGTTGCAAAAAAAATGAATAAAAATTCTATGGGAATTTATAATCTTTTCATATTGTATTAAATCTATTTGTTATATTATATATTTATTTAATTTATTTCTTTATTTTATATATAATAAATAAAAATACATAATGTATGCATAAATATATAATAAACATATTATTAATTTATTTATTATTATTATTATTATATTATATATTTAATAAAAAATTTAATATTTCGTTATATTATATATTTAATTTAATTAATTTATTTATTTTTATTATTTATTTGAATAATTTTGTATTGTAATTAATTGTCTATCAAATTATTTCAATCATATTTTACGAATTACCAATAAGAATAATTAAATATATTTAAATATATAATTAATTAATTTTCCAATGAACAATTATTCTTAATTATTATTATTATTATTATTATTATATTTGTAATTAATTTTCTATTAAATTATTTGAATCATATTTTACGAATAAGTAAATAAATTTAAATAAATAATTAATTAATTTTCCACTTCGAACGATTATTCTTTAATTATTATTATTATTATTATTATTATATAACAATCTCATAGAATATTTGTAATGAACTGAACAAAAATAAATTCCAACCCCCCCCCCTCACCCTATCGATGTTTATGAATCAAAAAAAAAAATCGAAGCTTAGAATTCATCAAATAGAAGAGAGAATATGTGAAAATATTGTCCGAGAGATTGGAAAATGTTTTCTCATAGAGATAGAACGAAAAAGATATAAGAGAATTTGCAGTGCAAAGGAAAAGACCTGAGGAGGATGAGGATGAGGATGAGGAGGAGGTGGAGAGAAGAAGGAGGATGTGAAAAAGCTCGTAGAGAAATCTCAGTCGTCTTAGTGAATTGAATCCTCGACGGAGGATTTTTTACCTAAATTCAACGTTCCAATGGAAAATATGAAGCTTTTTAGATTTACCAACTTCTACTTTTGCTAATACGTTCATCCTATTTCATTATATGCAGTTATTTTTTTTTGTACTGTATATTTTAATCTGAAACGTTTAATACAAACAAATACAAATACACAAAGAAAATATCAATGATAAATACTTTGCCAAACAATTTACTAATGATAATTATGAACATTGTGATCGAATGAAGAAGTACATGCAAATTAGTGAGGTAACATTTAGAAAAAACAAAAAAAAAAAACCAAAACCAAAACGCACCTTGACCAAGAAGAAATCCTTTGCCGATAACCAAAGCTTTGTCGATTTCGTGCAGCAGATCGTTTTCATTGTATTTATCACCTCCACCGATAAAATAAGTGCCAAGTGTTTTATCTAAAAAGCGTGCATCATGTTGTGTGGAAAAAAAAAAGACAAGCAACAACGAAAAAAGGGAAGCAATAATCGTAATTAGAATATGATTAGAAAATGTGACGTTGATCTTCGAATTTGTTAGATCGAGTGAAATGATGATTTTAATTGAAAATGTCGTTGATCTTTTCGAATTGTTATCTCGATCGAGTGACATGATTTTCATGTTTTTTTTTTTTTTTTAATGAAATTCATAATAAACGGCATCATCTTTTATTTGAGCTCAGTAGAATCTAAATTAACGATTGATATTTTGGATACTCTTACGACATAATAGAAAATAATCAAAATCAAAATAGAGACAGATGATGGGAGTGTTATTTCATCGCTTATACGTAAAAAGATTCATGAGAGGAATATTTCGGTGGCAAGATAAGCACCTTTTAAAGAGCGAATTCATTTTCTTCTCAATAGTACAACCATTTTGCCCACTTTATCCTGTTCCATTTCGCGAGCTTGAAAAGCTTCCGAGAGAAAAAAGAAAGAAAGAGCGAGAGAAAGAGAGAGAGAGAGAGATGGAATAAATCTTACGTCTCTTAAAAGAAACATAAAACGCGAATGTTAACAACATTTTCAACCATTTATTCCATAGAATAATAAATGTAAGAGTAAATGGAACACTGTAAAGACTATATATATCAGTTATGACATATAAAATTGTATATAAGAAAATATGAAGAAATCATAATAATAATAATAATAATAATAATAATATTCGTGAAGATGAGATAAAAGATTCGCGTGGTTGGTTACAGATAAACTTTAAAAGTTGGTTGGGTCAGCAGTAAAAGTGTGTTTAGAATCAACGATGATGTGTCTCTCTCTCTCTCTCTCGGTGGTTCGTGTTGCAAGCAGCAGCAGCAGTCGTCGTCGGAAATAACCGAAAATGAAGACGGTGGTTTTTCTTCGTCTTCGAGAACTGGGGATGCGTATTTGTGACGTACCTCAGTAGGTGCCCTATTTTCTTCTACGAGGCCTAAATTTAGGTCCTCATTCTGTGTATGAATCAGCAAAACGATTGCACACACACACAGACACACACACAGTGGCTACTACTACTGACGGCAAACACAGTATAACTAACCCTCGTGATTTCGATTTCAAGTAAGAAAGTTAAAGATGAAATTAAAAAAAAAATATATTCAACAGAAATTTGGGTCAATTGAAATGAAATTTGTATGTGTAACATTGGCACAGCAAAAAGGGATTATTGATTTAATAATAAATTATCCATGAGAGTAAAAACTTCGATAGATTAATTTCAAATTGAACAACACATCCTCTTCCTTTTCCTTTCTTGAGAATAAATAGTAACTGTAAAACAGTGATTATTGTTAAATGATAAACTCGATCGATAATAAATATACAATCGTACAATCTGATCGCTTATTATTAACCGCAAACCTCTATAAACCTTTTAAAATACGTTAGTCTAAGATTTCTATCCATTATCGCACAATACCCTGAATTCTTCGGTTCAATGAATGCCAGGCAAGTTATTTCAAACGCGTTGGAGATAACGAAATGTCGTATACGATGTGATCGATGTTCATCGTTCAAAACATTTTTCTGCCTCTTTCTTTTTTTTTCTCTCTTTTCTATATCTCCAATGGAACAAGAGAATTAGAAACAAAAAAAAGGAAGAAAAATAGAAACGAAAATAGTACAAACATATATATATATACTCTGTTCTATCGAAAAAAAAAAAAGCAAACACGTGGAATAGAACGTGAAATTCCTACTTACTCAGCAGCAAGCACACGCCTTTGAAAACGAACACCCAAACTGATCGATTTCTTCGTTAAAACACCAACAAAAACTTCTCTGAGCATTCCTTTCTACGATTACTTTTTTTTAAAACGTGCTACAAAAATAAAGATGAAGAAGAAGAAGAAGAAGAAAAAAAGGAAAAACAAAGCGACACTACAATCATTCCTCGTCAATCAACGTTAGTAACGATCAATAAAAGAAATAAATAAATAAATAAATAAAAAAAATAGAAAAAAGGATAACAGAAACACGAAACATCTATTATTATGTCATTTTCAATATTAATCCGGCACGTGCGTTAGGGTTGCGTCAAGGTTCGTTCGTTTATTCAATACGAACAGCAGGCTAAAAAATTTAGGATTTAGTCCTTTTGGTCCTTGGTCAGTATGATGGTAGTCTGGAGAGAACACTTTTGTAATTTGTGAGAAATTATAAATAATTGACACACATCTAGCAACACATCAATCTCTCTCTCTTTCTCTCTGTTTTTAGTTTTCGTTTGCTTGCATTTTTGGTTATTTCTTTCTCTCGATGTGTTAACTCACCATCCTGATCGTTATCCTTCACTGAGATCTTCAAGAACTCTCGTAGATGTTTCGGTAATTTTCTTCGATCACCAATCTCCTTTCCATCGATCAAACATCGAGCTTCAATTGTATCTTCTTCCTCTTGATTTTTCTCAGCACCATTTTCAGATTCTGGTTCACTCTCGTCTAACTTAATGCCAAACTTGTTCAATCTGTTTTTTGCTTTTTCAATAAATTCTTTCTCCATGGCACTCATGTTTTTCATTTTAGATTCAGATTTATTCATGTCATCGTGCAAACTTATCTTTACAACCTTATGATGCTTCCTTTCTTCCCTTTCGTGAACTTTATTAACATACTCGTCGTACATCCTTTGACGAAATGCTTCACCACTCATCGCCCAATTGCAATTTGATTTGTCGATCTTATTTTTTGATAATTTTTTTAAATCCTCTTTGTCAACTTTACTTTTATTATCATCTTTCAAAGTGTCGTCTTCCATTTTTCCTTTTTGGGTGATCACTCTGTGCACACTGTGTTCAATCTTTTCAGTAGTTTCTTCCTCGTGAACACCATTCTCGTCGTGAATAGTTTGACGAAAATCACGATTACCAGATTTTTCAATACTTTCCGAACGATTTTGATCAATGTCTTTAGATTTCTCTTGCCAGGATTCTTTTTCAATTCTACTATCATTATCAGGTTTTGTTTGTTTTGTTGATATCGTTTCTTTCTTCATCATATTTGTCGAATCCTCGTGAAATTTTGATTTAACATGATGAAATTGAAAATCTTCAAATGCCTTTCTTTCCTCTTCCTCAGCTAATATAACATTTTTCAATTGATTCTCTAATAATTCGATATAATTTAATTGTTGATCGAAATATTCCTGCGGTAAAGAATATTTTCTATGACCACCAAGATCCAATTGTTCCATGGTCTCTTTTTGCAATCTTTTCAAATTGGCCACAATTTCCGTAGCTGTGAGTTTCTTCAAAGTTTCAACGTTATTATTATCATGACGTTTTCTCGTTTCTAAATGATTTCTCGGTGGATTTTGATCGAAAATACTCGTAGTATCGATACAAGATTTATCCACTGTTACAATTCTCTTGGATCTAGGTGGTACTTCAACTCTATCATCGATCAATGCTGGATTCACGTTGTAACGGGTCTCGATAAATCTTTTCGGTGGTGTTGGTGTTTTATTATCCACTTCCGGCGATACGTTTTTATCAATAATGGCACTGTTAAATGTAATCGAACACTTGTTATTACTAGTGTTCATCGAGGAGGATCGATTTTTCATTGAATGAACCATCGATCCGTCGTACATTCTCGGATCTTTCGTTAAACCATACTGACCACGAATAATACCACTTCTACTTGGCGTCATACTCGTCATCGTTTTATCGTCAATATTCGACGACGAGTAGGGCAATTTTCTACACGAATCTCGTTGGTCGTTATCATTCGATTCGTATCTAGCTAAATTCATCCAATCGCATAATCGAGTAACTTTCAAACGTTCTTGACCTTCCACTTGTTTCACTGAACTCGAAATTTCGTTTCTAGGTTGTTTCTGTTTTGATTCAACAGATCGAGACGAATTTTGTTTGATTATATTTAACAAACCCAATGGTTTATCTTCAAGCTCATTATCATCATTTTTTATTACCATGCGATAATTCATGGGTGAAACTTTAGAAGATTCAACATCGTCGTAACTACGACGATTGATAAATTTCGTATGAAGATCGAGTAATCTGTCAGGACTCGTTTGCATCGATGTTTTTTGTTGAGACGGTGATAAACATACCAACAATCGTGGATCCCTCGAAGTTGATACACCCAACCATGGTAAATCTTCAACATTACGATTCATCCTTCCAGATTTTACAACTTGACCATAAAAATCCGAGATATTAACCGGTCCTGGATATCTTCTTGACGATTTAATCTGGTCTGAAACAGTTTTTTCGTCTCCGTCAGATATCTTTGTATCAGGATACTTAAACGTTAGCCAAGCTAATTCATTCGCAACGTCAGACACACCATGCTTGTTTAATCGATGATGGTAGTCGGTCTCGATGTTTTTTTCTACATTATTAACAACAAATGATCGAATGTTCTGCAAGCTTTCGAATATATTAAATTTAAATGCCTTTTTTAATTGTCGAATTATTTCAATGCCATATGGCATTGATAGAATCTTTCTTAGGCTTAGATCTTTTAAAGATGATGGTTTTAATGTGAAATATTCATCGTCATTCAAAGGAACGTAATAAAGATCTTCTTCAATCGGAGTTATTGATCGATTTGATTCAATTTCATCGTCTCTTTCATTCGATTTTAACAATGACAATTTGTTCCTTAAATTTGAACAATTAATCTCATCCTTATCGATGATCGTACAATCATCAATGAGAGACAATTCGATCGGTACGTATTTCACTGTACTCACGGAAGCTGTACTACTAGAAGAATCTTGATCTTGAAATTCATTTTGAGATGTAACAAATTCTTCTACATGTTTTCCATCAATCGAAGATTCTTTCAAATCTTTAGAATCTTCTTCAGAATCTAGCGAAGTTTCTTCACGTATATCCGTCGAACATTTGTTTTCGATAAAACTTTCTTCAGTTTTAAATTCAGACCTTGACCTATCAACATTTTCCTCTTCCTCGTTGTCGTCGTCGTCGTTTTTTCCAACTTTTTTACAGATACTCGAATCCTGTAGATGTTCCTCGACAATCTTTATTTCCGTTTCCTCAGTGATCATCTTTTTCTCACATATCTCGTTTCGTTCAGTTAAGATATTGTCGTATAAAATCGTAGATACGTCGTCGGTAACAAATTTCCCATTACTCTTATCATCGATTCCATTTGATCCCATTTCCTTGTTACCTTCCATAGTAATTTCCTCGTAGGTTCGAGTTGAATCCTTCGACGAGCAGGTCGTCCTAGTGGTTGCCGTCACGTCTTCGTCGTCTTCGTCGTCGTCGTTGTCGATAAAACCTGCACCTTTTCCTCCTGGCGCCTTTTCGTACAACTTGTCACCGGTTATTTCAGTAGTCTCTTCATTGCCAACCATGACGCCTTCTACGTCGTTACATAAGACTTCGTCGTCGTCGTCGTCGTCGTCGCACTTGGAAAATGCGAATAAATTGGCAGCCCTTGATTGAACCTCTTCAACTAAGGTCTTAGTTAAATCACGTGACGGAATCTTTAATGAATCATTCTCGTCATCATTGACAACATTCGTTAACGTTAATCCCTTAACAGCATCCAAATTAACTTGTAAGATATTTTCGTTCGTTGACTCGCATTTGAAAGCACAATCCAAAATACATTGCATCATCTCACGTGGAAGTGGTGGACGTTCTGGTATTTCAACAATTTCTTCTTTCATAGTAATTGGAACATTAACAACCACCATACTATTTTCTTCTTTCGATATTACAGTTGATTCTCGTTTAACACGAAAATTGGATGATCTTCTTGGTGGCACGTCTGGTGGGCAAGTAACCATCGACGATCTATTTTCATTGTTCATCGAAGTTTCGAAATTTGTCAAATTTATTTCAAAATGACTTTTCTTCGTTGAGTTTAAATAATCTGATTCTTTCTTATCGATTATGTCAAAAATATCATCGTTCGTCATTTCATTTTCCATTTTATTATCTTCCTCGCGAGATGATGATGAAGAACAAGTTTCATCTTTACAGTCGTCATTTTTGATATCATTCTCTTTCAGTTTATTCGATTCAATAATACTCGTTTTAGGAACATCCACGTCTGACATTTCTTCTTTTTCTTCTTTTTCTTTGTCTTTTTCTTCTTCATCGACAATCTTTTCTTCCACAAATTCTCGTTTTATCCGAAATCCATTCTCATCGAGTGAAACATTATTAACTCTATCTTCTATCTTATTTTCCAAATTTACGATTATTATATTTGACGTTAAATTCTTATCCTGTTCCACAATTTTAGTCACGATTGAAATATCATTATTATCCGAAATAGAAACTTCATTTTGTTTATTCGTCGTTTCTTCGGACAAATCTTTTACGATGACACTTTTATCATCGATAATATCGTTAACTGGTTGAATAGATTTAGATTCGTTCGATTTTTCTAATTTATCATTCATTTTAATATCCACAGAAGTCTCCTCGTCAATCATAATTATATTATCATTATTATTATTATTATTATTATTATTTTCCATAGATTTTGTATTATTTAAAAACTCTGAAGAATTCTTATTCTCCTCGTCTTCGTTTTCGTTTTCGTTTTCGTCTTCGTCTTCGTCTTCGTCTTCGTCATCTTCGTTGGTAACCTCATTAATACGTTTACATTCAGCACGACGAAATTTTCCAATTTCTTCGTTAATAAAATCTCTGATATGTTGTTCCTCATCTCCCGATAATTTTTCACCTTCCTCTTGAATAATATCTAAAAATCTATTAGCCGCTTGTGATTGATAATAAGATTCTAAAATGGCACGTTTTTTAGATTTCATTTTACTTATTCTATCGTATTCCATTTTGTTATCCTCTTTCTCAAACGACGTACTAGGTAATTTTAAATCTTCAATGAAATTTCTTAATTTTCTTTCAATCTCTTTAGACATCGTATTATCCTTCGTATCAATCTTACATCCTTCTTGCAAATTATTCAATTTTAATTTGAACTTTTTCTCTTCTTCTTCATCATCATCATCATCATCATCGTCGTCGTCGTCAGCGTCGTTCGATCTATCAAATTTATCCTTTTCAACGTCCGAATCTATTTCGGTTATGATCGGTACTGTATCTTCCATATCCGTGCTATTATCTTTCATCTCATTTATATCAATCGTCAAAATGTCTTCATCATCTAAAAGTTTCATTTTACAATTGACATTATCCGACAATGGTCTCATCAAATCTAAAGGTTCGTCGACTCTGATCGAAACACTGTCAACATTCATTTGATCCATTATTCCAGTTTCTACAATTCCAACACCCGGTATATGATCTATCGTAGCTTCCAATGGCAAACTACTTATCGTTTTGATCTCGATCATTCGTATTTTATTATCTATTTCTTTCATTTTTATTTCACATTTATTTGTTTTCAACAACAAATTTTCATTTTCAATCATTGTTTTGAAATTATCGTTGATTTGATCGTTGATTTCGTTGCTTGAATCGAAATTATCCGAAACTGTGTCGTTCGTTTTGGAATCGTCAATAAATTTATCATCAAATTTCGTTGAACCATCATCGGTTGGTGTAGGTGGACGTTGTTGTTGTTGTTGTTGTTGTTGTTGTTGGGCACGTTTTCTCTGGCGATTTTTTCGATTTCTTCGATTACGCGAGCCATGAGAAGGCATCTTCTTCTTATTGTTAGTAAATTCAGCGTCTGTGACGTATCCAGAGGATTCGCAATATCCTATGAAATGCGGTCCCAAAAAAACGTTTTTCCTTCTATACAATTTTCAATGAAAATTAACTTGCGTTATAATAATTGTCGTTTTTTTTTTTTTTTTTTTTTACCAAACGCCTGACACATCATCGTATTTTGTTTTTTTTTTTTATTAATTGCGCAAAATTCAACTCGATATACGACCTATCTAACCGTCCTATTTCCCAAATTATTATAATAAAAAGACAAATAATTATTTATACTGATAATGATGATGATGATGATGATGATGATGATGAGAATGATTAATCGCGTTTTATTTCAAGACAAATATTGTTAATCATCAATTTGATTATTTTCTTTTTGGATTTGATTGAATTTAAACATTTTCTATCGCGAATCACTTTTTGCTGTGACGTTACGAAAAATAAAAAGCAAAACAAAACAAAAGAAAAAATGATTTAAATAAATGTATGAATAATAAACAAAATCGAATATTATTAAAATAATAAAAAATAATGAGAGAAAAATACTAAATAAACAAGAAAAAAAAAAACTTCTAATATTGATTTGATCGAGCATGCATAAAAAGCGTTGTTTGTGTGTGTGTGTGTGTCTCCCAGGCCTCCAGCGATGCAAAATTTTATTTTTAACGTTAAAAACTAATATAATAATAATAATAATAATAATAATAATAAAAATAATATTTAATAATAATAAAAAAAAAATGCAAATGATAATTTACCTTTGTTTGCGTCTACGCGTTGATCAATCGTTGAATTCTTCAAACCACCGTTCTGAGTAACGTAACTTTGATCATTTTTAGTGTCATCTGAAACAACATCAATGGAATACCAACTTTTTAATCTAATTCATAAATATATTTATATAAATATAACACTAATTAGAAATTATGGGAAATTTGTCGAAGAAAAAAATTGATAAAACATAGTAATCAATAAAATTGGATTTATGACAATAAATCACGACGTTCAAAATTCCTTTCGTATTTAATGGTTGTAACTCGAGATATCAAACGATGTAAGATTTCAATTGCAGATTTTATTTCTCATTCGAGTAAAGTTAAATTAAAAAAAAAAAATAAACCCGCAGCATGACCTCCGTGGTCCGTGAATCACTATAATACACTGAACGTAAATGAAGTCATGTCACTCATGATGCATACTCGATCCCACCTTCCCCTCCCTCCCTCCCTCCCTCCCTTTTCCTCCCTTCTCCTTCCACACGTTACATATGTAAATTCAAACGTTACGTATTTCTATTTGCGTATAAATGACACGTTTTATATCTAATTAAATATAACCAAATAAAATACACTTTTTTTTTTTTTTTTTTTTTAAATGAACGGATTAAAAATATTTTTTTGTTGAATTATTATTTTCATGAAATTTGATTTAAACAAACAAAAAATCACATTTCCCCATAAAACTATGAGACAATGATATTTGTAAGTATTTCTCGTTGGACATAGCACGAAATTCACTAACTCGTTTGAGAGAAACACTCTTGAAAATGAAAAGTAAAAAAAAATGAGGTTTCCAGGAGAGTTTGCATCGACGCTTCGGACGACACCCACCCACCCATCCACACTTCTCCTCTCTCTCTCTTTCTCTCTCTCTCTCATGTTCCCGGGATTCATGCATAGTGCCACTTCCGAGTTGGACTTCCTTCCGAATAAACAATACCGGGACAACCAGGGAGGTGGTGTAGGTTCTACGTTGTAGAACAACCCAACCCACGATTTTGAACGTTCGTCGTGTTACGTCATGAGTACGTACGATGTGAGCATAATCGTCACAGGAAACAGCCCAAATTCTGACGGAAGTTAAACTTTCGTAGCTCATGTAGAACTAAATGCAGAATACAATTTCAACTATCTTAACAGTATTAATACTTTTCTACACTATAACATTATTTTTATAATAAAAATTGTAAATATTTTGTATCATAAATAAATTACAAGATTAATATGAATATAATATAATTGCATTACTATAAATGTTCATATCTTTTTAATATATATATATAAATTACGTTATGTCACGTTGTTTGTCCGCAATGGATTTCTAAACAACTGAACCGATTTTAATCAAATTTTCCACACTGTGTGCAATTTCATCCAATTTGATAGATAGGATAATTTATATCTCAATTTATAATGATTATCTCTATTTAGTTCGATAAGATTCTAACAAATGGAGGCATTAGTATTAATAGAAATTTCTGAAACATTGAAATATTTATTTATTTATTTATTTATATAATTTAATATACGCGTTTAATATATATTATTTCTTAGAACAAATTTGGTATCGATCTTTAATAAAAACGTGCAGTGCATCGCATGATACAACTAAGAAACATACAATGATGATTGTAAGTCCCTTTGGGTATCTATCTTTTTGATCGTTTTCTATTTCTCTTCTTCTACGAACTCCGAAAGGAATAACATGATGGTATGTAACAAAGAATGAAGAGTTCATTACTATAAACCTAGTCGTTGGATCATTTCAATCCCGTGAGACCCCTTCGAGGTAGGTACTTACAAATACTCTCGAATGATAACTTCCATCGTGTTCATCGTACTTCTAATATATGTAAGAGTTAAGGAAAATTATACCCTAGCGTGAAATCCCATACAAACTCAAAGTACTTTCACCTGACAGAAATAAATATTATATAATATTTTCTTATTAATGTAAAATATAATAAAAAAAAAAAAAAGAAAAAATAGAAAATAATTTAACATTATATTTAATAAATATCAACGAAACATTTGTTATAAATTAAATTGAAGATTATAACGTTGAGAATATTTTTTTTTTATTATTCTATTGTAATTATTTATAAAAAAAAGCATCATGCATTCGCATAAATTAGAAACAAATTATGCAACGATGATCAATGTAAAATGTTCAAACACGTAACCTGACGTAACTCTACAGAATTCGTAATAGAACACAGGGTTCTCGTTTGGTTGTCAACGAAAAAAAGTAGCCGAAGGTTGTTTCAAAAAGTGGGCACGGCACCTTCGGCCCATGACACCGCACCCATCAAAGGCGTGCATTAAAGTACCCGTGTCAAACACGTCCCGTCGTCTCTTTCGAAATCATCGATTCTATCTGTCGACGCGGACCATTACGCTTCCGTTCTTTAACATCTTCTTCTTCTTCTTCTTATTTGAGAAAATTTGTCCTTTGAATTTATAATTGCAATTAATCCCGTAAATCTTTTTTTCTTATTATTTTATTTCATATCTTTATCATCGAATTTTAATAAAACACTATCAATTGTATTCCCGTTTCTTTTTCTATTTCAATTAGTGAATTATTTTATAATAATAGTGAAATTACGTGGAACGTTGTTTGTCCGCAATGAACTTCTAAACTACTGAACCGATTTTAATTCAAATTTTGCACACTGTGTGCAGTTTCATCCAACTTGAAAGATAGGATAGTTAATATCATTCTAACAGATGGTGGTATAAGGTAATTCGTTGACTTAAAGACGTGTGTATCGGTAACGCGTGGCAGGGGCACCCCTAGTTCTATTATATTTAATTTAATAAATGTTTTTTTTCTTGACGTAACACATCAAACACTTTGTTCATTTCTTTCTTTATATTACAAGGTAATACAACAAGTACATATACGGTGTAACAAAACAATCGTTTGAATGATCGAAATTATTCGTTTCCCGGATTATGGTCTACTTCATCAATTAATTACACGTTGCACGCGATTATCAGATAACTAAAACAAGATATATTGACTCAATCGAAAATTTCTACTAAAGTTTATATTGAAAATATTATTTTTTTTTTTTATATATATACTCAAGTTAAAACATTTTATAACAATTTTGTTAATTTGTGTTCTTTTACAAACGTTCGTAAAATATAATATACCTATTGAATAGGTATTACCGATAGTAATAACTATTGTTCTGTACTAAAGTTCAATTGAATGGACGACGACAATACGATTCGTTCTTGATAAAAGCCGATTCCACCGATTGTGTTTCCATTCCTACGTATATGGAAATCGGGTCGCTAAACGCGAATTACTCGATAAGGTAGAAATGACCCAGTGTTTTTACGGATGAATAAAACGAATCAACCCCCCACCCCCACCCCCCACTAACGATAAATCGAATATAAAATACCATGAATTATAAACTTTGTTTTAACACGAGATATAAAAATCAAAAAATAATCCAAATTTTGGTTTATTTATACAGGCACGAGGATTTGTTGAATTATATATAAAAAAGAATATAAAAAATTTACCGTGAAATTTAGTGACATTTAACAATCGATCCAAACTCTCGATCAAATCTTCATCGCGTAAATCGGTTCCCGAATCGTTTTCTTCCAAATCATTGGAAAATCTTCGAAGAAATTCATCAAAATTCGATGTATTCAAATTATCCAGTTTTTCCTTGACACCATTTTCCAAATTGTCAACGTTATTCGATGCATCATCGTCATCATCTTTAAAACGAACAGTTTTGTGTTCTCTTTTAAAAGAACGTTTTCTTTTATCATGGTGATCATCGTCATTCTTGAGAATCGATGTATTACGATCTAACAATTCCATGGTTCTTTCAGAAACCTCAAAACGTTTGTGAAAAATCAAACCAAGAGTTTGCAATCGGTAAAATCTATTCGTTCCAGTTATTTCGTTGAACTCGTTGTTGTTGTTGTTGGTATCCTCGATAAAATTCATTCTTTTCGATGATTCGTTCATTGTAAAATCGTTCATTGTTTGAGGAATGGCAACAGTGTTGATACGTTTGAAATCTAAACTGTTAAATTTGTTTTTTAAATTCTCATTGACCTCGACATTTCTAAAACATGGTGGCGGATCGATAAGAAACTTGAAATGTTCGTAATATTCACGCTCGAGTTCCTCCTCATCCACATTCTCGTGATTTTTGTCTTCTTCTTCTTTGAACATTCTCCTTGAACTTCGATTCGATTCCTCGAGCCGATCCAATCTCGCTAGGATCTCTTTGGTTTTAGTGACGTCATCAACAACCTTCGAAAGTGGTGGTAGTGATGGTGATGGTAATGGTTCGGTTCGACGATTCACCTCATACTTCGATTTACCAATCCTAATAGAATTTCGTATCTTCAATTTTCTGTTCTCCAGTTTGGTTCTTCTTCTTCTTCCATGAGAACATTTCTTCTTCCTTCGTTTCCAGGATGCACTCAAGGATCCAAGTATTGAAGGTAACCGAGTTCGTGACGTCACCAAGGATATTCTTCCTTTGGAATCCTCGGAAACTAGTCGAATTGGTGGTCTTTTCGTTATAACCAAAGGATTCGTACTTTCCATTGAACTGGAAGGAATGGGATCCTCGATTGTACCAAAGCATTGTGAACAACTAAAGAACTTCATTCTTTCTTTCTTTCTTTCTTTCTTTCGAAACTATTTCAACAAACTATTACTATATTTTTTTTTGTACATTTCTTTTCTTCAATAATTGTCCATGATCTATATATCTTTTTTGTACTTTTAATTCGATAAATCATCCAACAATATCATTCGTCGAATTATAGGTAACGAAATGACGTTAAAATTACGTAAATAGGATTCGATTTGTCCTAGGTACGTATTGTTCATTTTAACAAAGCATTCATTGTTACATTATATATGGGTTTCTACGAGAGTACATTCATATTACAGTTTCTCATGACATACGTCACAATTTACCTTTAATTGTAATCGTCGTCACGATAAATATAACATCTCTTTCGAATGTTAAAAAAAAAAAAAAAGAAACAATCTAATTATATTCAAATTCATTTGTGCAAAATTAAAGAGAAACAAAAAAAAACATCTATTTTCTCATCTAACACAAATTGTTATCTTTTGTTCTATTAGAAGAAAGCTCGATAAAAAAAAAAAAACAAACAAATCCATTTACGTAATTTGAGTACATTTAGAAGAAAAAAAGGTATTCTTCATTCGACAACGCCCTTTTTTAACCGTCGACAGGAACAACGCCTTCTGTTCCAACCAACCACTGAACAATTTACTCGAAAAATAAAAACACGGCTAGGCTACGAAATGTTGATCAGACTTTTTTTCCCTTATTGTGAATTAAATAGAAAAATCCTAGTAATCGTGTCTTAGTAGTAGTAGTAATAGTTGTTGTTGTTGTTGTTGTATCATTACTGTTCATCCACTTCTATTTTCGTCGAAAGAACAAATCCCATTTGACTCTTTCTTCATCACTTGATTCAACTTCGTTTCTCTTTGATTCGTTTAAGATCAAAAATCGATATAAGTTTGATAAGATTGATAATAATAAGATGAAATGAAAATAACGCGAGAAAATCGAGAGAAACTACTTGAAGAGTAGTTAGTAGTACGTTTCTCGACAAGGTGTTCGTGAGCACTGACAGAAAAAGGTGGGTCGAGTTCGAAAAGGAAAAGGAAGAGGGTCGCCTCCTTGTCGTAGGGAGTCTCGTAAGTAGAGGGTGCGCCTTCTACTTGAACGAGAACGAACTTCTTTTTCTTCTTCTTTCTTTTTCTTTAACGGACAGGTGTGCTGGTATATGTGGGTACAACACTTGAGTGTCTTATTCATATATGTTAATGTGAACGAGTATAGTACAACGTCTGACAGACAGACAGACAGACAGACAGACAGACCGACACACACGTGCAATCGTTCCGTTCCCTCCCTCTTATGCTTCTTATACCGTTTTCTACGTGTTTGTGTCCGTTCATCCTAGCGTGAACACGTTTGTGCAAAGTAATTTGCAGAAAGAACAAGGTAATATAGAAAGGCACGAATAATACGACGACTACGCGATGACGGTTTATTTTCCATATATTCTTATCTTATTCTTTTATGAGAGAGATTACTATTTCTATTTTCTTTTTTTCTTTTTGGGTCATTTCAATCGTTCATTTTGTCTTACTAATAAAAAATTTATACAGAAATAATTATACATGTTATTTTGTAATTAATCCTTAGAGTGCTATGGATGCATATATGCGTATATTGAAGCATATACGTGTTTGTTAATATTAATGATATTAATTAATGAAATTATATAATATTTACAATCAAAAACTGTAATTATTAAATATAATATATTTACTGTATATATATATATATATATAGGTATGTGTTCTCACCTGTGCCGTTTTTTCTCGCTTCGTTCGATATAATCCGTGTGTTCGAAGTTGTTATCGTCTTCGTTGTAATTTCTATACAATAATAATAATAATCATTTATCATCAATTATTCCATTGAAAAAGAAAGAAAATATCAAAAGAAATCAACAAACTTACTTTTTAACGTTTCTGTCGATGAATTTTCTTGAAGGCTGCTCTTATAAATTCTTCTTTTAGGTGAACCAATATTTTCTCTTTCAAAAATAAACAAATGAATCGTTAATTTCTTATTACTTAACTTGTGAATCCAATATTATAAGAAATAAATGTAAACACTTACTGATTTAAACCAAGCTTCAAATGATCCCCAGCATTACGTAGTAAAGCATGGGCCTCACTATTCGTCACTTCCCGAGTGCTTTTGTCGTTTATACTGCTAATTAAGTCACCCTCTCTAACACCTTGTTGAGCTGCTTTGCTACCTGGATTTACCTGAAAATTAATAGAACAAATGATCAGTCATCTACAAATACAAATATTCTCAATTGGGATACATTGAAAAACAACGTGTCTTATCTCAATTCGATATAAAACACACAAATTTCGTTTATATTACACTTAATATTATTATTATTATTAACATAAAATGTATTTTGATACGGTGCACGGATTCGCAATAATAAAATTACGTATCCCATCTAGAGATAAATAATAGTATTAGTAGAAATACTATACTACTATCACACACACAAATTCATTCTCTGGTTTTGTCTACTATCTGCCCCTGGAAACACGTTTCCACGCGTACGTGAGCTAATTCAAAGCAAGTCGGGTAGTCTGACTACAGGCGTACCAGTAAACCTATACTTTACCTATATATATATATATATATATATATATATATATATATATATATATNTATATATATATATATATATATATATATATATATATATATATATATATATATATGTTATACGATAGTTAAAATTCTCACCGTATCGTTGGATTTTCGTTGTGGTGGTGAACGAAACTTTAACATTCCGAAGAACAACGGAGGCTTATCCTTCACAATAAATTCAAACCTTTAGTAGTATCTCCTAATAATCGTCAAAACGATCAAATTTAAAATACATTCCTATATTACATTATATTCTACGTAAGAAAATTCCTATGAAGATCTACAAATGAATAACAACAACAACAAGTGTTGTTATCAATCAAACTGATTGAAAAATAATTTATGAAATTTAATTGGATGATCCTTTATTTGCCATGACGAATGTTGACACAATGCAATCAACGTCCACGTGACCAGACTCAGATTCGTAAAATAAACAAGATATATATATAACGTTTTCCCCTGTGTACCCCCCACCCCCTAAACCTCCCACTATCTACCTGAAACAATGCTGACGTTTTAATTACACGTAGAGAGAAGGTAGAACAAAGCGACAATGTACAACGCGCGAGTGAACTCAACGTACTAGTACCGAGTCTCTTCCGTTTCTGTATGAAGAAAGTAGTGGGAGAAAGGAAGAGGTAGAGAAGACAGAGAAGACAGACAGACAGACAGACAGAAAGGGAGAGAGAGAAAGAGAGAGAGAGAGAGAAAAGTAAAGATACATCTCATCTGACGCCACTGTCGTCACCACGACACGTCAGAGTACTTTCAACAAAATTAACGCAAGTATCTGGTTTTTTTTTTTTTTTTTTTTTTCGAAGAACCTTCTATTATTTTGTAAAAGTACCATCATCCCCCTCTCACCCTTCCTTTCGGTGTTTATGCTAATGACGAGAGTATACGTTGTGCGTCATGCTCGATAACGTTCAAGAATTTTACCTTCTTTAAAAAGAATCTGGGTCAACTACCTAAAGTGTTTTTTTTTTTTATTTCTTTCCAAGCAAAGACAATTTTTAAATACACCCCTCTAATCTTGCATTCATTTTATGTTAATAAATGATGAATAAATTGATGAAACTTTGAATGTATGTGTAAGTATGTATGTATGTATAAGTATGAGTGGTGGATCATGCAATTATTTTATTTATTTATTTTTTTTTTATTATTCTTTGTTATTTCTTTTGATATTGTTTTTTTTTTTTTTCATACGATACGTGGAAACGAAATATATATATATATTGGAAAAAAAAAAGTTTTTTCTCGTTTAATAGAATAAAGTTACAGAAAGATATAAAAAAAAAAAAATAACGATAAACGTTTATATTCAAAGATTTTTTAAAAAAAAATCACCAACGTAGTAAAAAGAAAGATATATAATAAAAATACAAAATGAGAAAGACATACATACATACATACATAGATACACATATATACAAACACAGTATTATATAGACCATGAAAAAATTCAACGTAACTTTGTGACAGATAGAAAAATAAGACAAATATTTGAGAGAGAGAGAGAGAGAGAGAAAGAGAAAGAGATCAAATTTATCGTGATAGTTTTAATATGTCAGAGAAATGAATATGAAATAGAAAAAGAAAAGAAAAAGCAAAAATACTTTTTTAACAACAATTTTTCTCATACGGTTTTTCCTCATACGATGAAAAAATTAATTTTCTATATTCTCTCTCTCTCTCTCTCTCTCTCTCAAGTTATCATTTTTTTTTTTTTTTTATTTAAATCTACCATCCAGTATTCTATTTCCCCTTAGGGATAAACGAGCAAACAAAAAAAAGTATAAAGTATGTAGTAAATAAAAAAAATAAAAAAAACACCGATGAATTTTTTCTAAACCTTCCTCTCCCCTCATCCCTCATCCCTCATCCCCCATCCCCCAAGAAGAATTCAAATTCCGTGTAAGCAAAACGTGAGGACTCGTGAGCGTTGAAAACACTTGGGGTAGTTGTTTTTGTTGTTTTTGTTGTTGTTGTTGTTGTTGTTTTACTTATTTTCTCGCAATTTTCCAAAGCGAAGATGTCTGAATAAGGGGAGGAATGAGGGATGGTGGGGCGGAGCGGGGCGGGACGGGGTTTAGGGGGCGGGGGAGAGGGGGAGGTTCGAGTGACGTAAAGGAGAAACTCTCGAAAATGAAAATAAGCTCGGCCTTGTTGGTATTTTCCATGGACGGTTATACCAGCTACGATGGAAAATCGCTCGGAGTCATGACTTTTAATTACACGCTCGGAATATTTCCCAGTGCTTTCGATAAAATGTCCTCGATAACAACTGGAATGTCTGTACTTTTGTCCTTTTTTTTTTTTCTCTCTCCTCCCTTATATTTGCGTTGAAACAAAATAAACAAAAACAAAAACAAAAAAAAGATTTGTAATAAAATTATAAGGATAACAGTTTGTTTTTCATTTTGAATGATGGTCAGTCGTTTGTCTGACAACCAGAAATTCTCTCATCATCACAAATTGACATTTTAATTCTAACAGATTTTATTTCCTTCCTTCCTTTCTTGAGAGATTTGTTTTTGTTTTTGTTTTTGTGTGTGTGTGTGTGTGTCTCGAAATTTTATAATAAATTGTCAAAATGTAAAATATATCTGTTTGAGAGGTACGATGGGAATTAAAAGTGTCCAACCTTTTTTTTGATACATCGTAATGCACGATGGGAGGACATTTTTTAATCCCATCTCGAAATATTATTGCAATTTCTACACGTGCTTCTTAAATTTCTATTTCATCTTATTTATGCAAAACAATTGGTTATTAACTCTTTTTTTTTATATGTTTTTACATTATAATATATATAAATTACGTGTGACGTTGTTTGTCCATTTTTTAGTAGCCCATTATGATTACAAAAAAACAAAATTCTTCAAATCTTTTGTATTATAAGCTTGTATTAATATTTGATTTGATGTTAGAAAACATAATAGAAAAATAGTAAACCGAATAAGTATCATCATCGTTAGGATCGTGTTGTCACGTATGTGACAAGAAGAATCCTATCAATTTTTCCTTTCACGATGTGATGGTGGTGGTACGTGTGCAATTAATTGCTTTTCTCTCGTCTGCCTTCTAATTAAAGCATCTAGCATCTCTCTTTCTACTATCCTTTAGTCTAACGTTCACCATCGTTGAGAAGCTAAGCTTAAGCTAGGCAAAAGGAACTGGCCGAATGCATAATGCATTTCACGTGGCTTGCATCCTCTTCTCAACTCGTTGCACGACGGTCATACTCTCTCTCTCTCTCTCTCTCTTTCTCTTTCTATCCTTTTTTATTCTTCTTTTATATTTCTCTTTCATCTCTTTCTTTTTACACAGAGCTTTACAATTCGTGCTTTCAAGATTCTCAGCTACCAAGTCAATGTTGTTTCCCCTCTCTCTTTCTTTCTCTCTTTCTTTCTTTCTTTTTATCTCGTAAAAATCATCGTAAATTATTTTTCCATTTATTTCGTGAATAAATAATAAGAATTAAAGAATAAACATGAGAGAAGAAATGTGATACAAAAAGAAAGAACATGTAAAGTTTATCGAGAATTTAGTGTAGAGAAAAGCTCTAGAAGCTGTGGAATAAGCTCTCTCTTGCGTTTCGTTTGAACTAACCACTCGTGTTGCTACTTAAGCTTTTAAAGTACATCATTTCTCTCGGTGTAGAGAGTTAAGCATAGGGAAAAGTTATGATTGAAATTACAGTAGAGTAAAACGTGCATAGAAACACATACATAGAAATGTATATCATCTACTTAAGTACACATAGGACACTTCGTTTACAGATAATTGCAATTTCAGTATAAGTGGAGTTTAGGGATTTTCTGGATAGTTACTTTTTTAATCCAGATACATTTTACCTTTAATCGTATAATTTGTAGTGGATTATCGAGAAAGTTGAATCGTTCATGCGTAAATAGATTGTTTTTTATGAGATAGTATGAGAAAATGAGATGTAAAAGCAAATGATGAGGATACTCATGACGATAGTTTATGGGGTCGGGTTGGAAAGGAACAGTCTTTTTGCAGTGTATGATCTACTGTGTGTTACGTGATAATGACTTAATGGTGTGGAATCACTTCTTCAATTAAAGCTCGCATGAGTAGAAAAAGGAAGAGATAGAGATAGAGAGAGAGAGAGAATGAAACTTGGTTAACATCGATCATCGTTGTAAAAACGCCTCGTACTTGAAAGTCTCGAGAAATCCTCTTTACGTCAACCGATGAAATAAAAGATCCTAATAGGTTGACATGGAAACCTTACGATGCATGTAACTATGATCAGTAAATTGGATACCATGTGTGTGTGTGTGTGTATGTGCACGTTTAACCAACTTAATCGAATTTAACGAATTAGATGAATTGAGTAGTTCAAATGACAAATCAATTTATATATTATTAATGTTTAATTATTTATAGTAAATTAGATTTTTGTTCGTCAATATTTTGAAATAGTTTGAAGTATTTGTATCCTAGGCACGATCGATCCAATAAGAACTTTAGAGTTTAGTCAGCAACACGTCGAAGGTTAAGGAAAGAGAGAAAGAGAGAGAGAGAGAGAGAGAGAGAGATCCTAAGGGAAACCTTC